AAGCAAGAAGGCGGGAGTCAAGAAGAATAGGCATGAGAAGAAGAATAAAGAGAAGGATGAGGCTGAAGTTGCTGCAAAGGGAGTCAAGTATTTTACACAAGGTAGTAAGGTGAGGAAAAATCTAGGATGTGGGAAAAGAAACTAAATGAACTGAAATCTCCATATCCTTCTTGCTGTGTCAGCCATCAATAGCAGAAGTTATTTTGAAGCCTGTAGAAATTAGAATCCTGGCATGAGCTTAAAATGTTTCCAATTAGATATGTTAGCAATTTTTGTACTTTGGCCATGCGATAAATATATTAATTTTTAGCACATGCACAAGTGCATGATTTTAAGTAAAGTATTCCATTATTATGCTTGAGAACAAGACACAAGCATAAGCTATTTGCATGTACTTGAGCAGGCGGGGGAAATGAGAATCTGATTGGAAAATCTCAGAATATTATTGCATCTCAAATAAGATTTCTTAATCGTATGATTTATTTTGTCTATGGTTCTCATGGTTGTATATGATTAATGCAGACATTAGAAACGATTAGTCAACATCAGCTGTAAAAAGTTATTTTAAGTTAAAAAAACAACAGGTTGTTGATAAATTCCATCCATGTAAGTTTGAACTTTGAACAGGCATAAACTGAAAAGCATCTACAGGTGTAGCCTCCACAACATCAAATTTTGTGTAATCATATGTCTGTGTGCTTGAGGGTGTTTCTTTTGCTTGGACAGAATGACCAGATCGATGAGAGAAAAGGAAGATATGCAATTCTATGATTTGCTCTCCAACAAATCTAGAGAAAGAATGTTTGGAAGACATCCTCTAAATAAATTTTAAGCCAAAAGACATCAGCTAATTAAAGGTTAACTCGAAATTCTTGAACGTTTCTTTTCTTGTCAGCAAATGATAATCCTTCCGTTGATCAGCAAGATAACAAAGGTGGTCAACCTCTAAAGGAGAGATCTAAGATCAAGGAAAGAAAGCAATACAATTCCTAACTCCGCAAACATCTCAGATCAATCCCTTATTCCCGCATCAATTCCCAGTTAGAAATTCTTGCAGCATTAGTTCTCTCATTTCATCTTCTTATATTTCAAGAGGGATATTTTAGCTGATTTAAGACAAGTTTATGAGCATCAACCAGCCGTGAACAACTATAGATATATTGATCAGGCAAAATTTGCTCTATGGAAAATGCAAATAATTGACTGAGCTACGCTTTCTCAACAGTCATTCACTTAAGTAGGCTCAGAAGCCATTGACAAAGTTGTGCACTTAAAATTTGCAGGACTTTCAGCATTTTCCTATGCCATATTGCCAACATCGCTGGTAACTTGATTAGCTAGCATCAAGAAATGAATGGACAATCAACAAAGGGACTAATAAAACATGCGATATTAAGGAAGAAAGAGAACCAGAAACCAACCTACACCGTCCCTCTACCATTGATGAGTAGGCAGAAAAGATGGAACAAGCCACTCATATTTGCTAGCTTGTACACAGCAACATGTATCCCGGAGATGTGACTATCTTAGACACTTATTATTATTTTTTTATTACAAACAAGGTGTTATAGCCTGAAAGGCACATCAACATAGGTGACTTGAGGGGTTGGACCAAAATTAACACCATAAAATGAAGATTTAAATTACAACATTTATGTACAGCCTGTCTACAGGGTGGCAAGCACTCTCTGAGAAAAATGGCCTCACTTAATTAAGCTACGAAGAGATTTCTGTAGCATAGAGTCTAACTAGTTAGTACTCGTACTATCACTTCACAGAGTTTTCAGCCCTTGTAGCATATAAAGACTAATTCCTGAAATTAATCTTGTGATACCAATAAATTATGCCGGTTGTATAAACTACGAATTCAACTTAGCTGATTAATGGAAACAATTCCTTGGGAATTTCAGCTAAAAGGCAGCAGATGAAAGGTGGTCACTGATTTTGATTGTTGAATAATAATTTGTTGTAAAACTTATAATCCTGTGATCCATCTGCAAAACTGCAGAAGAAGAAAATGGAACTATTAACCAAATTGTCTGCAGTGCAGCTCTCGTGGGACATATTTTGGTCTGGGACATGCAACATTCCTGGACAAAGTCAAGAAAGAGTCATGTGATCACTAATCTTTGTTCTTTTCCTAACCTTGACAATCATTCTTGAGGGGGAGGTGGACAGAGAGAATGACTCGACTAAATCATACAAAACTATCCCGTCTCTTTCCTGTGTCCACACTCCCTCGTGCATGTTTCCCTATATACGTTGAAGGGAATCATCACAGTTTTAATCCAGCCATAATTGGCATTTCGCACCAGCGCTATTAGGAGTTGAGGACAAAAGTAATTGCCCATGGCCCATGGGCTCCATCAATTCCGTTGTATAAACTGAAGAACAAGCAGAATTTTATCTGGTGTTGATATTAATTCCATCACTAAATACATGCTTTTGTGAATTGTTAATTTTTATGCTTTCCAAGAATGTTTTCTTGGCAGGTTGTAGCACTAAGGCCCAATGGATACGCAATTGTAACACTAGTAAAGTTGTGGGCTTCTTGAGCAAGTGTGAGGCTGAGTGATAATACTTAAGCTCGTGTTTCCTTTTAATGTTAAAAGATTAAAGCTAATGTTGAATCTTTAGGACAAAATGTGTACTTATAACTACCATTCACCAGCATTTCATCACCAAGCATCTATAGACTATAAGGCCAAAATTCTTGAATCCAAGATATAAGGTCACAGGTCTGATTAAGGCACTAGTGTCTCAAATTGTTCAGAGCAATGCAGGTGAGGTGGCATCAAGATTCAAGAGAATGAATTAGTGGGATAATCACTTTCTAGCAAACTATTCTGTTAAATTTAATCTCCTTTAGATTTAAGCCTTGGCCTAGCCTGCACTTCAGTCTCACTTGAGGTCTTCAGGTTTGTCATTGTTGCCTGAAAGTTCAGCCTTAAGGAGTACTAAGGCGGGGTTTTACCGGGCTAATGAAGTTTGGATCCAAACGAACTTCCTCTTCTTTGATTAGTTGTGACAACATCAAAAGATGAAACAAGAAATACATGAGAGTAACTTTGCAACATTTATACTATGGCTTGCCTGTAGACAAAGACTCAGCACAAAAGATAGACTTTGCTCATCGGGTGTGAATGTAGATCCATTAACTGGTTTTTGTTCTGCAGCTTCTGAATCTCCAAGTCATTTTTTTTCCCTTTATCCTTTCTCTGCTTATATAGGGGAGGAAGTGCAAAGTACTTGTTTAGTTTTCAGGAAAGCTATTGGACTGGGAACATGCAATTGATGGTTCAACGTTGCTCCAAAGACTCTTTTGCTTGCTATGTTTGAAGAGTAGCTTTTGCAGCTGTCGCGTACCATGTTTGGCATAGCAGAAATAAACAGGTTTTTCAGCATGTGCTTTATCCTCCCGAATCTGTCATTCAAACTATCCTGAGGGATTTGAAGGGTATTAGTTCAGGTTGGAGAAAACTGGAGAAAAGTTCAGTGAATACCAATCTCTGCAGTGATTTAGGGGTTCCTACTCAATTATCTGATGGCAAACTTTGTTTCGAGATCCTAGAGATAGCTACTGCAACGTTCTTACTGCCAATTTTGACGTTAGTTAGGCTCATTTGTATAGTGGTATACTTTTAGGTTCCTTTTCCATACATATTGCTGTTCTTGTTTGAGGGTTCTGCCCCAAACCTTGTGTCCTCCATTTGCTTATCAATGAGAAAAATGAGCTTACCAAATAAAATAGACTTTGCAACATGTGTCTTTCTACGTAGATGAGGTTGAGAATGAAAAATCTAGAAAGTCAACAGTACTGATATTCTCTTATTTGTTTGAAAAAAATCAGAATTTCTCCAGTGGAAATTAACATAATTCCAAGAAGTTCTGACCTCATTGAGAAGCTATATATTATGCTTATGCATTCATGTCTCGAATATCCTCAACTACCTACTTCACTGTGCATCTCTGTTGTGTATATTCGACCTGGTCACATTCTTAATACAGCTTGGACGAGCAGTAACTGTTTCTACAAGGTCATACATCAGGACCTGGAAAAATACAAACAGGAAATTATTCATGTCCTGTTTCTACGGGTTTTGACAATGACATATTGGATTGACTTGAATGCATCTTCTCTTGACTTACAATTTTTCCAGAGTCTTTACCAGAAAATTATAAGGAAAGAAAACAACATATAAACAGGGACAGATTCACACTACCACAACATATAAATAGACGACTTCTATTTCTTAAGCAGTGGGACTTAGCAATCAATACTCCATAAGCCCCCCTCCACTTGCGTACGGTATGTAGACCACAAAGCAGCATTTCAGTCAACCATCATCTTTTTCTTTCGTTTCTTGTGTTTGGAATTCCTACAATTAAAGTCAAATTCACACTACCATAACATCACCTTATGGTGAAATGATGACAAACATAACATGCGAACAAGACTTCCTCCTAGAAAACACTAATATGCATTCGCCCCAAACCTCCCAAGGAATTGCGTATATGGTTTCATACGTTATGATTTCAGGTTGATCCTGGTTCTTAATGCTTGCGAGCGCAGGCAGATGCAGGTCTCAAGGTAAAAAGAAAAAAAAGGGTAAAATTTACCCCTTGAAAAATGCACTGCACCACAAATAAAAGAAAGCAGATCACAATATCAATAGAGCTTTGATGGGACAAACGTTCTTCATTCCACAGAGGCCCTCTTTAAAAAAAAAAAAATTCTGAAATTTGCATTGGGTGAAAATATTGTAACCATCTTCACTTCCATCTGAGCTAGGTTACCATTATAAATAGGAGGCCATGCCAATGAAATTACACGAGATTTTCGCATAATCCTTAGCTTCTTCCCTGACTGACAGCATGGCCAGTGACTCACTTCAATATTTTCTCTTTCTAGTACTCATATCTCAGGCTATAAACCCTTGGATTCAACAGGGTTTTTGCACTGAAAATTCGAGGGACAGATGCAATGAAATTGAGAGGAAATCAATGCTCCAATTTAAAGAAAGTCTCAGTGATCCTTCAGGGAGGCTGTCTTCTTGGACTGGAGAAAGCTGCTGTACATGGAAAGGAGTGACCTGTGACATCAAAACAGGACATGTTGTCAAGCTCAATCTCCGAAATCCCTTTCCACAAACCTTTGATCCAACTCCAGAAAGCTTTGATGGCAATGGAATGGTCTACGAACTAAGCGGTAAGGTCAGTCCTTCTTTAGTCAATTTGCAACATCTGAGTTATTTTGATCTAAGCATGAACAATTTCCAAGGGACTCAAATTCCGGGATTCCTTGGATCCCTCACAAGATTGAAATATCTCAATCTATCTGGTGCATCATTTGCTGGCAAAATTCCTTCAAGTATTGGAAACTTATCGGGATTACACTATCTCGATCTCAATTCTTACACTGATGAACCTGTTAAGAATGACATCCAATGGTTGTCTGGGCTTTCTTCTCTGAGGTATCTTGATTTGGGAGGCTTGGACCTTAGCCGGGCTTCATCTCATTGGCTTCCGACAATCAACATGCTTGCTTCTCTTTCAGAGTTGCATTTATCCCAGTGTCAACTCCTGAATCTTCCAAATTCTCTTCCATTTATCAATATCACATCCCTTTCTGCACTTGACTTATCCAGAAACAATTTCAACTCTACCATGCCAAACTGGTTGTTCAACCTAAGTTCCCTCACAGACCTTGATCTGTCCTCAAATTATGGCATCAGAGGTCAATTATCCAGGAATCTTGGAAACCTTTGCAAATTGAGAGCACTAAATCTCAATAGTAATAACATTTTTGGTACACTAACGGAAGTCATTGATGGCTTATCCGAGTGCACCAATAGTAGCATGGAGACATTGGACTTGACCTTCAATCAATTAAGTGGAAATATTCCCAATTCACTGGGCTTCCTCAAGAACCTGCGAAGTCTTCGACTTCGAAATAACTCATTCACAGGTTCAATTCCAGACACAATTGGAAACTTATCATCCTTGGAGCAACTATATCTCTCATTCAACCAAATGAGTGGGGCCATTCCTGAGAGCCTGGGAAAACTCGTGTCCTTAGTTTATTTGGACCTGCATGAGAACTCATGGGAAGGAGTCATAACAGAAGCCCATCTGATCAACATGTCCAGATTAACGGAGATATCAATTGGTAAACTTTCAGAAAATATTTCCGTGGTGTTTAACATTAGTCCTGACTGGATACCACCTTTCAAGCTCAAATTTGTCCAAATTCAGTCATGCCAACTCGGCCCGAAATTCCCAACTTGGTTGAAAAATCAAGATCAGCTGAAAAATCTAATAATTAACTTTGCAAGGATTTCAGATTCGATTCCAGAATGGTTCCTACGGCTGGGATTGCACTTGGATGAACTTGATCTAGCATACAACAACTTAAGCGGGATGCCACCAAATTCATTGCAATTCAACCTCGGATCAAATGTGGACTTGAGTTCCAACAGCTTCAAGGGGCCCCTCCCACTCTGGTCATCTAACCTGACTACTCTATATTTAAGGAATAACTCTTTCTCTGGACCAATTCCACGAGATATTGGTATGGTGCTCCCACTTCTGACAGACCTTGATATCTCCAGGAACTCACTAACTGGTGGCATTCCCTTGTCAATAGGTAACATGACAAGTTTGACAACCTTAGTCATCTCAAATAATAGGTTGTCTGGTGACATCCCAGACTTTTGGTCTAATATTCCAGATCTTTACATTTTGGACATGTCAAACAACAGCTTGACTGGTAGAATACCAACATCTATAGGCTCTCTTAGCTTCGTCAAGTTTTTGATACTTTCAGGGAACAATCTTTCAGGAAAACTACCTTCCAGCTTGAGAAATTGCACTTCTACTTTCAGTCTTGATCTTGGTGACAATCAATTATCAGGACGCCTTCCAGCCTGGATTGGGAAAGACATGCCGTCCCTTTTGATTCTTCGGTTGAGGAATAATTCCTTGACAGGAAACATTCCCTCTAGCATTTGTGCCTTGTCTTCTCTTCACATCCTAGACCTCTCTGAAAACAGACTGTCTGGGATCATTCCTACCTGTTTGGGAAATTTGAGTGGCTTCAAAGCTGGGTTAAAAACTGAAGATACGGAGCCATATGAAGGGCGCTTGCAGGTGGTTGCCAAAGGAAGAGTTCTCGTGTATCAATCCACACTTTACCTAGTAAACAGCATAGATCTCTCAAGCAACAAATTCAGAGGCAACATTCCTGCTGAACTCACAAGCCTGTTTAGATTGGGGACGTTGAACTTGTCAATGAATGGCTTAACTGGGCCAATCCCAGAAACCATTGGGAGATTGGAAAGGATTGAAACTCTTGACTTGTCAATGAACAAACTCACAGGGCGTATTCCACAAAGCATGGCTGCTTTAACTTTCTTGAATCACTTGAATTTGTCATCCAACAATTTGTCAGGTCGAATTCCGACAGGTAATCAGTTTCAGACCCTCACTGATCCATCAATCTACGAGGGTAACATTGCACTTTGCGGAGATCCACTACCAACCAAGTGCGAGAACAGTGGAACCAAACCTTACCCTGGTGGCAATGTTGACGAGGATGAGAATGAAGAAGATGATCTTGAAAAGTTGTGGTTCTTTCTTGTTGTGGGGCTGGGATACTTTCTTGGCTTCTGGGGTGTTTGTGCTAGTTTGATACTGAAGAAAAGCTGGGGAGATGCCTACTTCAACTTTCTTCTGGGATTAAAAGACAGGATTTTTTATCTTGCATTTGCCAAATGGAGGAAGGCTTGAACATTGAAATTGATTGCATGGAGAATATATGCCTGAATTGAAAGTACTACAAATGACCATGCATGGATATCAAGCAAGGAATAAGTTGTTTAATGATGCATATCTTTCTTTAAGTACTAAAGTAAGTGTAATAATTGTACCAATCAATCTAGATAGGTTTGCTTCATTTTTTCCCCCTAATCTTTATGTATATTACAAATTCAGTAGAATAAGTTTACTTTCTAGATAAAATACACAATACTCCTATTTTCAATAACTGAATCTGAGTAGCAAAATTAAATTCCAGTGAATTGTAAGCAAGAGTGATTTCCATATACAACTGCACCCCAAATTCAAGCATTTAGATATTACCTAAGAAAAAACAAAATAAAAAACCCATTAAACCAAACACCAATATTGGTACTCTACCTTTTTTTTATTATTTTTTTATAAATTTATGGCAGCATAACACTATATATATATTTTGTATATTCTTTTTCTATATTTTGTATATTATTTTGAAAATTTACAACCAAAAAAAAAAAAAAAACCAATATCAAATGGAAACACCAATCTATTAGGTTCATGGTTCATACTATTTCTTCTTCTTTTTTTTTAACCACTTTTACATAGGTATTCCAATATTTAAGAGATGAGAGCCTTCACTTATTATCAGTGACGTGGCACTAAACCAGCCACCGTCCTCCTCCGAGTGAGTATTTCATCACCACCGACCACCGTCTTCTCTTCCTTCTCACTCTTCACTCGACACCTAAAATTCGTTTTTTTGAGAAAAAATGTCCAAGTATCTTCTCCTTCATACTGCTCATCTGACCTCAATTCATCTGCGGGCCAGCGTTTCCTCCTTCTTATCCCCAAAAACGACGCCGTCGTCAGTGGTTAGCATCTCCACTTCTCGGCCTCTCTATGACTCTTTGGACTTACATAGAAGCTTCTCGATTAAAGCGTTCGACACTAAAAACGACAACCTACCGTCGTCCTCAGAGGAGGATAAAGCGGCTGATGCTAAAGTGAGGGCGGCGGAAGCTGAAATTGATGGTGAAAATGGAGATTTGAAAGGTAGTGGCAGTGAGTATAATGATGATAAGTATCCGAGTGGCGAGTTTCAGTTCCGCGAGTACGGCGCGTGGAAAAGCTTCGTCGTCAAATGTAAAATGCTCTTTGCCTTTCCTTGGGAGCGCGTACGTAAAGGCAGTGTTTTGACTATGAAATTGCGGGGACAGGTTTATAGTCTTTCTTTCTTTTTTCGAAATTTGTTCAAAAGTAGCATACGAATTGTTGGCTAATTATTCCGGAAAGTTTTAATCTTTTGCGATTTTGGTTTGACTATGTTAATGTTATTCTGATTCTTAGTTAGATGCTTTTATGCTGAATTATACTCAGAAGACGTACACCTTTTTTTTTGTTTGGGGGGGGAGGGGGGGTTGTTTAGAGAGATGGGGGGATTTTTTTTCAATTCTTTTTAGGCTTTAATTCTACATCTATGAAAGAGAATGTGGTCGGAAGGAATAGAATTTGGGTGGGAGATTGAGGATGGGAATGCAACTGCAAAATACTAATTTTTCTTGTGTGTTTGTTTCTCAACTAGATGCTTATAAGGTAATGGGGTTGAGAAGGTTTATTGTTTTTATGTCAGATAACTGATCAGCTAAAGAGGCGTTTCTCTTCAGGACTTTCAGTGCCTCAAATATGCGAGAACCTTATAAAAGCAGCTTATGATCCTCGTATCTCTGGTGTATATCTTCACATTGAGCCATTGAACTGTGGCTGGGGTAAAATTGAAGAAATTCGAAGGCATATTTTGGATTTTAAGAAATCAGGTTACAGTACTTATTATGTTCAACTTATTGGCTTGAACGAGGAAAAGCGTTTTTGAGTAAATGTTCATAAGCATGTGTTTGCTGCAGGCAAGTTTATTGTGGGTTATGCACCAGCATGTGGAGAGAAAGAGTATTATATTGGCTGTGCCTGTGAAGAGCTTTATGCTCCTCCAAGTGCTTACTTTGCATTGTTTGGCTTCGCAGTTCAAGCATCATTCCTGGGAGGTAACTGGATTGTCTTGTTTCCGATGTGTCTCCTTTTTAGTTGCGTAAAACTTTTGAACCAATGGTGATGGGGACAGATGAGTGCTTTTGACCATTGATCTGTGTAAGATTGTAATTTTTTTCCTAGTGAAAGATTGTGGGAGACAGATAACTTTATCAGAGGCCTCCTGCCCATATTTAATCTCTGCTCATAATAATAGATTGCAAATGCGGGTACCAATGTTGATGATGTTTCTGCCAAGTACAATGAACATTTCATTGTAATGCCCATGAGTTCATCATAATTCTGATAGATGTCTCAATCTTTGAGAATAAATCAGTTAGGACCTTGACTTTCTCGTGGCAAATGAGCTGCCACTTACTGTAAGGTTGTCAGTTCGCTGGGCAAAATGCATGTTTTTTTAGAGTAGGATTATCAAATCTGCAAACCTTTCTGCAAGCCTATTTTGACATGCTTTTCAGTCAACAAAAATTGACTTTTCAGGTGTCCTTGAGAACATTGGAATTGAGCCACAAGTGCAAAGGATTGGCAAATATAAAAGTGCTGGAGATCAACTCACTCGGAAAAATATATCTGAAGAAAACAGGGAGATGCTAACCAAATTGCTTGACAATATTTATATCCATTGGCTCGATAAAATCGCTGTTGCAAGAGGTAAATTTGATCTTAAATTTTCAGGCTGATGTTGGAATGGGAGACTTTCTTTTTTCTTTTTTTTTTTTTGAGTTAATTGCTCTTGGATTTTGTTGAAAAGGAAAGAAGCAAGAAGATTTACAAAACTTTATAGATGAAGGTGTATACCAAGTTGAAAGGTTGAAAGAAGAGGGCTTGATTACTGATATAAAGTATGATGATGAGGTAAAGTTGCTCCTTCTATTTGAGGAATCAATTTTCAGAATTATCCAAAAAAATTCTTGTCATTGCTGGTTTGCAAAGCCGGTCTTTAGAAGTCATACTTCTACTAGTTAAACGTGTTTCAAGGATCAAGACAATATAGATTGAAAAGAACACGAACTTGCAAGGAAATTATTATTTATACTAGTTGGGATGAAAATAACTGCATGTTTAGATAATCCGACCCATTAGCTACTAATACAAATATCAGTATCTGCCTGAGTCGGTGTTCAATTGATATTGTGTCATTCTTGTATTGCTCCAGTATTTAGCTAACTGGAGAATGGAGTTTTCATACAATTTCATTTCTTGTTCAACCAATTCTACTTTGGACAAGATCAATCTGGCCCTAATGACAGTCTTGTCCATCTGATTTCTACTCTGGCATCAAGATGGAGTCTGATACTAATCTCGATGATACACAAATGGGTGTAAACCTGTTGGGCACTCGATCCTGGTTAAAGTCATATCTTGACTGGCAATTGCTTATCCTGTTTACCCTGTTAATAGTAGTGTAATGTACTTACACCAGGTTAATTGATTTGTCTTGTATAGCTGTGTTATTGGCTTGTAGATGTATCAAATAAGCCTCTACATGACTTTTTTGATTGTTGGGCTCTCCTGATGGCTTAGCTGTACCATCTACAGGTCAGGGCAATGTTGAAGGAGCGCTTGAAACTTCCAAAGGATAAAAGTCTTCCCATGGTTGATTACAGGTGACTTTTCCTGAGCTTTTTCCCATCAATCAGTCATCAACAATTTTCTTATCGCTTCCAGCTTCAGAACATGGTGTCCATGCTACTATGTCATGCTTTGCTCCAAGAATGTCATTTCAGATGTGTCATCCAACTTGCGTATTCAACTGTTTGCAGCATCAGGCATTGCCAACTCTGAAATCTTATGTTCTGACTCTGAAAGCCATATTACTCATCCTGTCTAGTTCAGCATCTGGATAATTTTGTGAAAATAAAACTTTAGTAAATTGCAAGAATGTAATATTTTTCTGAACTATCCATACCTACTACAAGTTGCTGATAATGTCTCTTTTTTATTTTTTATATAGGTTGAAAGGTTTGCTAAAGCTTGCATCTTGTCCTTCTGGTTTTATTCGTTTGTGTTTGTTATTATGACCGATAATTTGACCTCCTGATTATACAGAAAATACTCAGGAGTTAGGAGATGGACGCTTGGTTTAACAGGTTATAAAGACCAGATAGCTGTAATTAGAGCCTCCGGAAGCATTAGTCGTGCACGTGGTCCTTTTAGTACACGTGGTACGGGAATTATTGCTGAGGATATTATTGAGAAGATTCAAACCGTAAGAGGTACTTTTCACGTAATTATGTTTTCTGGAGGGTTAATCTTTTGTGATTTGAAATTGAAGGGCTTGTACGTTGTAATGGTTTACAAAATGGTTTATCTGAAAAAGTGTCTGACATTCTTATGATCTCAGGACTTGAGAATGTTAGTTTCCAGTTATTTGGATGAGTAACTTATCTTGGAGTTACTGATGTATGCCATGGAAATAAAAAAAAAAAAGGGCAAATCATTAGCCAATATTTGGGTAAAGTATAAATGAAAACTGTCTTGCAATATCCATGATTCCATAGGAATCAAGTAAACTTGTCACTTAATTTAACCATTATCATTCATTCCTCTTCAAGTGTTAGTTTTCACCTGGACTCATCAATGATGCTCTTTATCTGCAAAATTCAACATGCTATCATTCCTTTCAGTCCTGGAGTTGTTGCCCGGTCTCTTTTGTTCAGTGCTTTTCCAGTTTGTGACCCTGAAAATGGATGAATTCGTATCTTTTCACCTTACATCATCCTTTCTTTTCTAATTACCTTTATAATTTTTTCAACCTCTGCTTACAGTCACTGTATTGTCCTTCTGTTATTCCTTCCTGCTTTCTACGAGTGCAACTGATGATTGCAGGGAGTCAGGTAATGGGCTTGAGATTGTGGGGTTTGGATGAGTTGATATCATTGATCCTAACAACCTGTTCATGTTGGTAAATGAGCTATAAAATATAATTCTTCTTGGTGGTGATAAATGGTTGTTACTGTGGATGATATTTTAATTAAGAGCTGTTTTGGAACTTGGAGCCTTGATCCCGTTCTTCAAGTATAATCATATTGGATAAAAGTAAGATTAGTCCTATAGATGGACCATATTTGTAGCTGTTCACCAGAATTAATAAGAAATTTGATGAGCTACAGAAGGCCTTGTACATTGTAAGAGTGTTGGTTTCGATGTTCTTGTTCTGTTTGAAATATTTACCCTCTTGCTCTTTCTGTTAATGTTATCATA